ATGATGCTGGAGAGCTGCCGGTGCAACGCAGAAGGTCCTGGGGGGCCCAGCCCGGCCCCTGGCTCACACCCCAAGGAGAGCAGGTACTTTTCAGGGACATAACCAACCTGGCCTGCCTTGTTCCGAGCCTGAGGGGGAGAAACCATGTGAACATCCCAAGCCCTGGAGCAGGGACAGCCTGGGGAACTCCAGGTGTCCCCTAGCATGGATAGGGGCTCGGCTTGCTCCCACCTTCACCCACTCCTCTGCATCCCCATCCTCGATGATCTCCAGCTCCTCGCCCTGGGTGATGGACAGCTCATCTGCCTGGCAGCCCTACAGGGGAAAGGGACAAGGTGTCAGGAGGCTGAGGTGCCATCCCCAGGCAGGCAGGGTGAGGGACAGGACCTGGAGCTGTACCTGGTACCCAAAGATGACCCGGCAAGTGTAGGGGTAGGTGCGAGCAGCAGGGCCAGGCTCATTGTCCTCATCTGGCTCATCACTGTCCTCATAGTCATCGAACTCTGCTGGATCCAGCCCCGTGGGGGTCTCCTCGCCTGTCCCCCCCATGGCCCCAGCCAGCCAAGTGTCCACATCCAGCCCTGCTGCCCGCAGCAGTGCCAGCCGTGCCTCAGCCTTCACTCGGCTGACCTGGGGACACACACAGTGTTAGGGTCCAAGGGGACACCTATGGGGTAGGGGGACAGCCTGGAGAACCCCATCACCCCTGTACCCAGCATGATGGCCACAGTGGCAGAGAATCCCCAAGGACACATCCCCAGCGACACATCCCCAGGGACACATCCCAGCCGCCACACCTTCCCATCCCTGCGTGTCCCATCCTGACTTTACAGTGGAGTGCCAGGTTAACAGTTGGACTTGAAGGTCTCTTCCAGCCTTGATGATTGTATGATCCTGGGGGTGACAGACCTTGAAGCCACCCCAACTCCCCTGCCTGGGGGACCCACCTCTGCCTTCCGAATGTTCTCCCTTGCTTCTTCCATCTGCCGCTCCACGGCAGCCGCTTCTGGCCCCTGCCCCCGCCCCCGCCCTGGCCTCCAGCCTCTGCAGCACCTGAGAGGGTACCCACAGGTCAGAGGGTGGTTGGAGCCATGGACAGGCAGGGAAAACCCCTCCTCGAGCCCCTGGTGACACTCACCTCCTCGCCGTGTGCTTTGTTCTTGCGGTCACGAGCCACCCGTGTGGCCCAGCGCCGTGCCTCTTTCTCCAGACTGCCCCAGTCATCCTCTGGTGGCAGCAGGCACACCTGGGCAAGTGAAACATCTTTCATACTATCATAGGATGTTAAGGGGTTGGAATGGACCTTAGAGATCATCTAGCCCTGGGCAGGGACACCTCCCACCAGAATAGGTTGCTCAAGGCTTTAGCCAACCTGGCTGTGAACACTGCCAGGGTTGGGGCAGCCACAGCCTCCCTGGGCAACCTGAGCCACTGTCTCACCACCCTCTCAGGGAAAACCTCTGCCCAACATCTAATCTAAATTTCCCTCTTTCAATTTCTCACCATTCCTCCATGTCCTGTCCCTGCAGTTCCTAACCAAGAGTCCCTCTGCAGCTTCCCTGGAGCCCCTTCAGCTCCTGGCAGGTTGCTCTGAGGTCTCCATACAACCTTCTCTTCTCCAGGCTCAACAGCCCCAACTCTCTCAGCCTGTCCTCATAGGGAAGGTGCTCCAGTGCTCTAATCAGCTTTGTGTCCTCCTCTGGCCTTGCTCCAACAGTTCCATGTCATTCTGATGTTGGGAACACCAGAGCTGTGTGCAGGACTCCAGGTGGGTCTCAGCAGAGCAGAGGGGGAGAATCCCCTCTCTCACCTGCTGCCACACTCCTCTGGCTGCAGCCCAGGGCTGGGTTTGTTTCTGAGCTGTGAGCTCACACTCAGCTCATGGGGGTTTGTCACCGACCATCACCCCCAATTCCTTCTCCCAGGGCTGCTCTCCATGACTTCTCCCCCATCCTAGAGGTGTGTCTGGGATTGCCCTGACCCAGGTGCAGGACCCTGAACTTTGCCTTGCTGAATTCCATGAGGCTGGCATCAGCCCACCTCTCAAGCCTGTCAAAATCCCTCTGGATGGCATCCCTCCTCACCCTTCCCTCAGCTTGCTGTGATGTGTCCCTCCCCCACCTACCTCCTCCACCCTGAGCTGGAAGCGCTGCTCGGGGCCCAGGGTGAAAGCAGGGTGGTCCTGTAGGAAGAGAAGGAGGTCCTGCTCCCGGCACACCTGCAGCAAGGGAGTTGTGTGGGGCTGGGGGGCTCACCTGTCCCCTCCTTTCCCACCCAGCTCCCAGGATGGTGCTGTTACCCGTGCAGATGCCTCTGCAACACCCTGGAACCAGTCCCGTGTGGCTCTGCAGGTCTCTACCTCAGTCCTGCTGGCAACTGACAAGTGCTCTCGGAGACGCTCATAGAGATCCCCGTCCAGTGCCTG